TGTAAATGATTTGTTTTTTGATTTTAGATAAAGCAATCAGAAGATGTTGTGATCACCGCAAAAAATACTTTTTTGGATATAATATCAAAAAACCTGTTGCCAAGGACCTGATTCTTAATATTTTTTAATTTATAACGAAAATTTTGTGTCACTTGTTTTATAGTATGTACTTTAAGATATGAAGGTGCTGAAATAAATTTTTGAATTGTTAAACATTAGTTCAGGGTTGCTATACGTGAAGCAAGTCAAGGAAAAGTCAGAGATTTGTACTAAAAGTACTGCAAAAAATTAAATTTTTAGAATTTATAGGAAAATTCCGAATTTTGATAAATTTTCTGTTTGTCGTATAAACTATGAAATTCGACATTTCGGCGCCCCAAAACCGAACAAAACTCGGTTCGGTTCGAATTTTGCACAGCTCTAATTATCTTTAAATAAAATTTTGATAATTAAAATTCTTTTAAAATTAGTTCAATTTTTTTAAATATATTTAATTAATTATTAAAAATAATAAACTTATAGAAGAATTTTAGTTATAAACACTAAAAAAAATTGAATTTTAAAGAAATTACGAATGATTACAAATATTCAATTATGTTCAAATTTTAAAAAAATTCTCATAAAAATTTCAATTCTTTTTATATACAATAAAATTCTTCTCCAAAATTTAATTATTTTCATAAAATTTCCCCGAATTCAATGATTTTCAACAACTACTGTTTTAATAAAATTTTCCAAAAGAATTCAATTATTTAAAAAAAATTTTGATAAATTAAAAATCGCAGTACGTAATTCAAATTTTTTTCATAAATTCTCGTCAAAATTGCAATTATTATCTTTATAAATAATAAAATTCTCCTTCAAAATCATATTATTTTCAAAAATTAAAAAAAAATTTTTGTTAAAATTTCAATTATTTTCAAAAATTTGCCTGAATTCTATGATTTTTAATATCCTCTATTATAATAAAATTTTCCAAAACAATTTAATTATTTCGAAAAGCTTTTGATAAAATTCTGCGCAAACATTAATTTATTTTCGCATAAATAATGAAAATTCCACAGGAATTCAATTACTTTTAATATTTTAATATAATTTTAATCAAATTCCTAGTATTAATGTACCTATAATTATTCATAAAAATTTTATTAAAATTCTTTGAAAGAATTCAATTATTTAAAAATTTGTTCATAAAATTATTTATGAGAATTCAATTTTGAGAAACATTCAATTATTAAATAAATTAATTTTTTTTCTATTTAAATAATGGAATCCTCGTAGAAATTTAATTTTAATTACGAAAGAGTTACAATTAAAATTTTTATTAATTAGTTAAAGATTAAAATATTTAAATTCAATTATTTTTCAAGAAATTGAACTTTTAAAAAAATTTTACCTAGTCAATAAATTTTAAAAGCAATCGAATTTTTTGTAATCTAGATTTATCTAGATTTATCTAGAAATTGTTATGGTAACCCGGTAGAATAATTTTAAATAATATGGAAATCGGGAAATAGAAATTTTTGCAAATAGGTAATATCGAATTTTTTGAAATTGTTTACAAAAAAGCAGAAAAATGTAAAATTTTTAAAGTATATAAAAAGAACGTATAAATTAGAAATTACAATACATATTAAAAAAACCAAGCTGATAAAACAAATCTGAAGAAATCGTTGCATTTACAGAAAACAATTAAATTTATCATTAAATACGATTGGAGCATATTTTTGAAAACATTTTTTACGTTTCTAATAAAAAAAAAACCGATAAACATAAGTTTGTAAAGAAAGAAGTTTCCATATTGTTGTGATAAAATAAATAAAAAATGAAGTTATTAATGTTTTGGAATAATTGTACAATGAAAGAAATTCGTAAATAAATGTAATAGAACATTTCTTTGAGTATCAAATAATTTTAAGACTGAATCAGAATATTCTTTAGGGTCAGGGAAAAAGTGAAAATTTTGTCTGGAAATCAGGGAAAAGTCAGGGAAAAAGAAAATTACATTTTTTTGGCAACCCAGTAGTTATTATTAATAGTATTTTATTATTTTTTTCACATTATTTTTTTATTAATATTCGTTAATAGTAAACAAGGACGTGAAAAAGCGACAAAAAATCTGCAATAAATTTTTTTTTTCTCTGCGAATAATTTTTTTTAAACATATCGCAATATGGGTAATATGGGATCAAACCATGTAAAGTGTCAAATGTCTTATGTCGATCCCCAGTAGCGACAAGCGGTAAATGCCAAAGGCATTAAGTTCACTTGATAAATGGAAAAGCAGTATCGCAATGGTTTAAAGCAGATGTATCTTCATGTTATTTCAACGAAAAATTTTTGCGCTTAGTCAGGAATATTTAAATATGAATTCAAAAATAAAAGTTTCACTACTTTCAAAAAAGAAAAACAATTAACTTGATTTTTACACTTTTGTTTAGAAATATTTAAATTACATTTTTCATAAAGAATATAGTAGATTATATGTGATTTGTTATTCAGATTTTATCACACAAATAGATACAAACAGTACACATCTGTAAATTTGTGTTAATCCTCTATTGTTGAGGAAAATCCAAAGACAATCCTCCAGATTCAAGAGCTGATTCCATTAAGTGCAATATTACTCTGGAGAAATTGTGTCAAATTGGAGAAAAAAAATTTTCGCATTAAGTAAACATGTTTTTTTTTTAAATTTTTCTGATAATTATTTATTTATTATATTTACATTGTTTAGAAAACTGATCCTAATTTTTTCAGTCGTAATTAATTGTCTATTTTCAAGAACAGTGTTCTCAGTGCGAAGAATACGATTTGATTAAGATTGAATCAATCTTGGGAATCATGGAAAAAACTCTGCTTTGATTTAAAAATACAATTTGTTTAAATAATAATTTAATTAAAAAAAAATTCTGTTTTGGTTTTCACTTAAAAAAAATCAAGTTAAATATTAAGAATCAATTTTGTCAAAAGAAAAAATTTTTTTCAACAAAACTCTTATTAAAAAAAATATTATTTGTATCTAGTAATAAATTTGTTACCTCTATACCGTTGGAGTCACTATGCCAGTACAAAAATAGAGTTGACAATAAAAATTAGAATGCGCAAAGTATAGTATTCATTTTATTTTTATTTCTTTTTTTTTAAACGAATTTCAAATGTTATTTGTTATTTTGTTATATCATTACAGAAACTTCTTTCTTTATATACCTACACAGAAAAAAAGATGGTATAAATTTTGTTGCGGGGAATTTTAACCAATGCTAATTCACATAGACAGTGGCGCCCTCACTTAGGGGAAAATTTGTTGCAGGGAATTTTTACCCCAAAATCAGGTTAAAATTTATACTTTTTCTTTCTTGTGTATGTTTATCGTTTCCTTTAATTAGAAACGTAAAAAATATTTTCAAAAATATGTATTAATCGTGTTCAATGATAAATATCATTGTTTTTTATAAATGCAAGAATTTATTTAGATTTGTCTTATCAGCATGGTTTTTTTAATATTTTGTATTGTAATTTCAAACTTATACGTTATTTTTATATTCTTTAAAAATTTAACATTTTTCTGTTCCTTTTTTTGAACAACTTTTAAATATTCGATATTATTTGCAAAAATTTCAACTTCCAGATTCTATTATTTAGAATTATTCTCCAGGGGTACCACAACAAAATTGAGTTTGTTTTTCAATAACTTTTCTTTGAAAATTCAATCATTTTCCTGAATTTTAATATAATATTTTAGTGTTTAATTATTTTAAGAATTTTTAATTAAAACTATTAGAAAATCCAATTAATTGCAAAACTTTTAATATTTTCGAATTTTAACGAAAATAGACAATTTTAATTATTTTCTGTAATTTTACGAAATTTTATTATTATTATTATTATTATTATTATTATTATTTTTATTAAAAAATTTCCAGATCAATCTAGATGAATCTAGATTTTAAAAAAGTCGATTGCTTTTAAAATTTATTAACTACAATTTTTTTATTTAAAAGTTCAATTTATTGAAAAACAATTGAATTTAAATATTTTAATCTTTAAGTAAATAATAAAAATTTTAATTGGAACTCTTTCGTAACGAAATTCAAATTATACGAGAATTCCATTATTTAAATTACAAAAATAATTAATTTATTGAATAATTGAATGTTTCTCGAAATTGAATTCTCATAAATAATTTTATGAACAAATTTTTAAATAAATGAATTCTTTCGAAGAATTTTAATAAAAATTTTATGAATAATTAGGTACATTTTTCTAGGAATGCGATTAAAATTGAATAAAAACATTAAATATATTTGAATTCCTGTGAAATTTTTATTATTTATGAAAATAAATAAATGCTTGCGTAGAATTTTTTCCAAATTTTTTTTTAAATAATTGAATTGTTTTAGAAAATTTTATTAAAATAGTAGATTTTCCAATTAATTAAATTCAGGAAATTTTTTGAAAATAATTGAATTACGGAGACGAATTTTATTATTTATAAAAATAATTGAAATTTTGTAGAGATTTAAAAAAAATTTTTTTAACATAATTGAATATCTGCAATGAAGCTTATTTATTTTAAAAACAAAATTTGCAAAAAAATTCTCAAAACTAAAATTTAATTATTTTTAATAAAATTATAGGAATTTTCAATTGTTTTAAAAATGTTCAATTAATACTTAATTATAAAAATTCAATAAAGAATGAACTTCAATAAAGAATCCTTTAAAGAATGAACTGAAATTTTGTCAGAATTATTTTAAGGATTTTTCTAATTTAAAATTTCTTTAAAATTTGATTAATATTCAATAATTGTAATACAATTTTTTTATAAAATTTTAAACTAATTAAATTTTTGGTTTTTAATATAGCAATAATAATTGTATTAGAATATTTTTTTTGAGTATCTAATGATTTTTAGAGTGAATCAGAATATTCTTTCGGGTAAGGGAAAAGTCAAAATTTTGTCTAGATATCAGGGAAAAATAAAATTAAATATATTATTTATTACTACTTTAAGTTTATTGACTCGTGAAAGAATTACATGCAGTTTTATTTGTTAATAATTTCACGTTACTCTTCGCCTTTTTTACTTATTTTTTTTTAAATTATTAAGACAATAAATTATTATACCTACAATAGAAATAGATCCCGCACCAATTGTAACTCCCTTAGAAATTGGTAATCGCGAAAAAAAATCATCACTCCTTTTATTCAATGTTACCTATAATTATTCATATTATTAATAATCAATAATAACAATAATTTTAGTAATAATTTAAGTAATAATTTTGTGTTACTGCTTGTGTTGTATAATTTATTTGACTTTTTTGGAAAAAAATTATTAAAACAATAAATTAATACACCCACATTTAAAGAAGATCCTACGTCAATTGCAACTGTCGTAGACACTGGTGATTCCGATAAAAGATCTTCATCATTAAGCTTCTTTTTCAATGCTTCCTTAAATTATACATATTATTAATGAAATAATATGTGAATAATATCAAATTAATAATTTCATTATTTACTTCTAAAATATGTAATATTTCTTACAAGTTTGCTTTTCAAATTTTTGCCAAATAAATCCAAATTTTTACTAGTTTTACATGATTCTGAATTAAAATCGTGTATATTTGATGACAATGAAGATAGATAATTGAAAGCTGCTTTTAAATTATCTTTTTGATTTTTAGTATCATTATTTGTAGATTTAGGAAAATATAACTCTGTGATCTTGTCAAGCTGATCGTTATAATGTTCAAGACCTTTTCCAAAAGGTTTATTAACACAACTATAAATCATTTCAACGTTTGAATAAAGAGTAAGAATAAACTGAAGTAAAGTAATCTTAAGTGCATTCTTTAATTCCTTAGATGACATTCTCTGCAATTGCACATGTTAAGAATTAAATTAGAAAACATCTTTTATTGGAAATTTTTATTTGTTAATGTTTCACTTACTTCAATATATGTATCAGGCATTGAAATCTAAGAATGAAAATATTAACTAAAATATATTAATATATAATGAAATGTATAATAACTATATTATACAGTTTCTCTAAGAATGTCAAATTGAGACAAAAAGTATATGAAAACGTTGCATTGCAACCATTTTGACACGTTTTCTGCCTCAATTTTCAATTCTTAGAAAACCTGTGTACTTTGATATAATTTTTTATTGGGATTTTAACATTCGAACTAACCCAATTAAATATCTCTTCGTATCTAAAAACTTTAGTCTCTGTTTTGCAGGACTTATCTTTTGATTTATTAACAAAATCCTTTAATTCCTTCAAGATGTCTTTAGCATTTTTTAACACCATGTTTCTATAAAAAATTATTGGTGTCTGCATTAAATCTCTTTCAGTTATATAGGACTCAAAGTTACTTTTCTCGAAGTCATTGAAATATTGAATGCGGTGTGAATTTCCATCACAATTTTTAATTATAGAGAAATTGCCATAAAAAGTAGAGTCGTACTGTATTAGAATAGTGCTCAAATTTTCAACCTCTGCATTCTGCTGCTGTTAAATGTTTTTAAAGAATTACTTTGATTATATTTACAGGGAATTCATTATGTAGTTTTCTTTTATTATTCACTTTCACTTTCATTCTCATTCTTCTTTATTTATTCTCTCATTTTTTCTATTTTTAATGATTTTCATTTATACTTTCATTTCATAAGAATTTCAGACTATCCCTGATAGTAAGTTAATTTTTTTCAAAGCATCGGTTAAAAAATTAACATTTTTGTGATAAAATTACTATCAAAATATCAATCTCCATAAGTTTAATGATCTCAAAGATACAACTATTAGTAACGTAACTTGGCTATGGTATTTGTTTATAAAGCGCAGTAGAAAAAATCAAGTTAAATATTAGGTTTCAATATTGTCAAAAGAAAAATTATTTCAACAAAACTTTTATTAAAAATATTATTTGTATCTAGTAATAAGTTTTTTACCTCTATTCTAGTGGAGTCACTAGATGCCAGTACAAAAATAGAGTTGACAATAAAAATTAGAATTCGTAAAGTATTATTCATTTTTTGTATTTCTTTTCTTTAAACGAATTGCAAATGTACTACAACATTATAGAAACATTCTTTCTCTATATTCCTATGTTTATCGTTTTTTTTATTAGAAACGTAAAAAATATTTTCAAAAATATTTATCAATCGTGTTCAATGATAAATTTAATTGTTTTTTTTTTAAATGCAACGCTTTATTTATATTTATTTTATCAGCTTGGTTTTTTAATATTTTTTATTGTAATTTCTAACTTATACGTTCTTTTTATACACTTTATTCAGTTAACATTTTTCTGCTTTCTTTTAAATAACTTTTAAATATTCGACATTATTTGCAAAAAATTCAACTTTCGGATTCTATTATTTAGAATTGTTCTACAAAGTTACCACAAAAATTTGACTTTGTCTTTCCATAACTTTCCATGATTTCAAGACAGAATTTTGACTTTTTCCCTGATTCCTACAAAAAGAAATTCTAGAGCAATTATAAAAAATAAAAATAGACAATATTTAGAAGTAAAAAATTTTATTTACAGTTTAATGAAGCTTACTTATTTCAAAAACAAAATTAGTAATTATTTTCAAAAATTCCAATAAAACTCTTAAAACAAAAATTCAATTATTTTTAATAAAATTATGGAAAATTTCAATTATTTTAAAAATTTTCAATCAATACTTAATTATAAAAATTTAATAAACTTTAATAAATGAACTGCAATATTTTCAGAATTATTTTAAGCAATTTTCTAATTTAAAATCTCTTTAAAATTCGATTATAATAAAAAAACTGTTTAAAAATTCAATTATTTTCCTTAATTGAATCTAAATATTTTAATCTTTAACTAATTTAATTTGAATATTATAACTCTTTTGTAATTAAATTAAAATTTTACGAGAATTAAATTATTTAAATACAAAAATAAATAATTTTTAGAATTATTATCAAGAATGTCATTAGAAATTTTTGAAATTAATAAGTAAATTCTTTCAAGTAATTTAATTACAAATGTATTTAAAATAATTATTAAATTCAAATGAACAAATTTCAAACTTTTTTTTAATAATTGAATTCTTTTGTTTTTTTCGAGAAATTCATTTGAAATTGTACTAAAAATAATTGAAATCCTGAGATGAGTTTTTTTATTTGTAAAAATAATTGAATTCTTGCAAAGAATTTTATTAAAATTTTTAAAAATAATTGAATTTCTAAGAAAAATTTTATTATTTAGAAAAATAATTGAATTCTTGCTAAGAAGATTATTACATTTTTTTAAAATAATTTATTTATTTATTTATTTACGGGCATTGAGTCCCATTCGTACATAAAGTACTAAAAGCATTTAACAGTAAATAATTGAAGTAATAATTGAATTCCTATGGAAAAATAATTATTTTTTTTATTCAATATAATTGAATTCTTGTGAGGAATTTTATTTAAATTTTTTAAAATAATTTAATTTTGGTGAAAATTTTTTTTATTCGTGAAAATAATTGAATTTTTGCAAAGAAATTTATTCAATTTTTTTAAATAATTGAATTCTCGTGTAAAATTTTATTATTTGGGAAAATAATTAAATTTTTGTAAAGAATTTTATTAAAATTGTTAGAAATAATTGAATTTTCTGAGAAGCATTTTATTATTTTTTTAAATAATTGAATTTTTCTGAAGAATTTTATAAAAATCTTTTTAAATAAATGAATTTCTATGAAAATTCTATTATTTTTTCTATAAAAATAATTGAATTCTTGTAAGAAATTTATTCAAATTTTTTTAAATAATTTAATTTTTGTGAAAAATTTTTTTATTTGTGAAAATAATTGAATTCTAGCAACGAATTTTATTCAAATTTTTAAAAATAATTGAATTCCTGAGAAAAATTTTATTATTTAGAAAAATAATTTAATTCTTGCTAATAACATTATTAAATTTTTTCAAAATATTTGAAATCCTGTGAAGAATTTTATAAAAAAAAAATGGTAAATAATTGAATTCCTGAGAAATTTTCATTATTTGCGAAAATAATTAAATGTTTGGGTAGAATTTTATTTAAATAATTGCATTTTTTTGGAAAATTTGATTAAAATAGTATATCTTAAAAATCATTGAATTGATGAAAGTTTTTGAAATGAATTGAATTTCGGAGAAGAATTTTATTATTGTACTAATTTTAGAAGAAGTTGAATCATTAAAATTTTTCAAAAACTAAGTTCTTTAAAAATTCTAATTAAATTTATTCAAAATGTACAATAAATAAATAAATGAATACAAAATTAAAATTTTATAAAATTTTAAATTAAAACCTTTTGAAGTTCTTTTATTTATGAAAATTGTAAACGCAATTCTTTTCAAATTCGATTAATTTTGAAATATTTAAGTAAACTTATTAATTAAATAATTTTATAATTATTTCATGATAGTTCTTCAAGAATTAAATTATTTAATGTAAATTATTGTCAAAAATAGAAAGAATTGAAGATTTTGTATAAGAATTTCTAATTCGTATAGTTTATGAGGCAAACAAAAAAGATATCAAAATTCAGAATTTTTTCATGAATTTTAAAAATTTAATTTTTTCCAGTACTTTTAAGGAAGAATCCGATAAACAATCGGAACAAAAGTTAGTCCAATGTTATAATTTCGTATTTTAAAAAAAGGTCAAATTAAAATTTAAAATCCTTTTGGTAGAAGCGTAAGAAATTTAATTTTCTACATTTTGAATAATTTTAAAGTTATATTTGAAGGAAAATTATATTTTTTTTCAATAATAAATTATTTAAGTAACATAACCTAAAACTTAACAAATGTTTCTTATTGACAGAAAATTGTAATTTTTATTCAAATGCAACTTTCAATCGTTTTAAATATTCAAAATTAAATTCTTCGCCTTTCCACCAAGACGAATTAAAAATTTAATTTGTGTTTTTCTTTTAAATTACGAAATTATGACATTGGACTAACTTTTGATTTAACTGTCCGTCAATTTCTTCTTTAATTAAAATCCCTAACTTTTTCCTGATATCTCTGACCAATATTCTACTTTTCCTGACTTTCCTGACCTGAGTCAACCCTGATTAAGTTTTTAAAAAAAATCAAATTTTCATAAAAGACAAAGAAAAAAAAGTAAAAGCTTGAAAAGCTTGATGTAAAATGATGTACAAAATGTGCAAATTCTTTTCTCTAAAAAGAATCACACACCCACAGACACATTAAAGGAGCTCGAAGTTTCAGACATTTTAAGACCTCGCTGATTTATTAGCAGTATAATTTTCACTCTTCATACCGGAAAAATTAGTATTCATAATGGAACACAGTTAGAATATATATTCTATCTGTCACTGTTATTAGAAACTACAAATCACTGAAAAGGAATGTAAAATCTTTCCCTATATATATATATATTGTTGTCGATCGCGTGCATGTAAATGCAATCTTAAAATTGCCACAGCTTACCAGAGGAAGTCGTAATGGAGAATATAGTAAGGAGAGGTGCAAAATATGAATTTCAGGGCAGAAGTAACAAAACGTGATAGTAACTTAGACTCCTTGGCGGTTTGAAGTTTACTGTGCAATGCGTGCCATCTCAGCTTTAGGAGAGAGAGGCATAATTTCAAATATCCCCTTCTATATCTCGGAAAATACATCTATTTTGTAGCTACATTTTATGAATACTATTTCTCAGATCAAATTTCACGATTGTAATAGAATATCATCTTTACTATCTTATATTTTAATTTTATGCAAACCAAATAGACAAGGGTATAATAAAAATATCTCTAATTCAGTAAGAAAACTAAAAATACTTCTTTTATGCATAGAAATAGTTGAAAAAGGTTGTAAAAACTTTTTCAAAGATATATATCACGCTTTTTCTGAAATGTTACATTTTCTCTATACACTTTTCTTCCTTTTTTTTTGATATGTGTAGAAGGACAGAAATTTTATTTGTGAATTTAACAATTTTTCTCTCTCGTCGTCTTTTATTTCGCAGAATATGGATCAAAGAATAAGGAATAAAAATTGATGTTTTCTAAAGAATATATTTCGATTCGAGTTTTTAAGATCGTCTTTCACATGTGCCTTGACATGGATATAAATTGTCAAACCGAACGGTTCTGCAAACTCGACTTTACTCATCCTCTACGATATATATATATACAACATATTCGGCAACATTTACAAGAGGACGATTTGCGGGAAATGCAACGAGTCAGTTTATCATAATGCAATAATTTCCTCAGTTTCACATGGTTTAACTTCCGGAAATGCAGATTTGGCCAATTTACTGACCATAAATCGGGAAGTGATTGCTGATATTAGTATCAAAACGACGATCCACCAGGGTTGCCGCAAAAAAATTAATTTTGATTTTCCCTGATTTTCAGACAAAAATTTGACTTTTTCCCTATGAGGCTAAAGAATATTCTGATTCACTCTAAAAATTATTAGATACCCCAAAAAATGTTCTATTACATTTATTATTAATGAATTTCTATAATTGTAAAATTATTCGAAAACATCACTATAACTTCTTCTTTGAATAAATATTTAATCATTATTCTTTTTCTATGGGAATTAAAATTCTTCAATAGATTCAAAATTAAATTTTATTGAAAATCAATAACATTTGAGAATATTATTAAGAAACATGTAGATATCAATAACTCCGAGTTTTCGACTCGAAGTGCTCGATATCTTCATGTTTTATAATAATTTAAATTTCCATAAAATTTTACAAAAAAAAAAATTAAATTATAATTTATATACAGAAATTTTAATAAAATCCTTCGCAAGAATTCAAATATTTTTACAAGTAATACAATTTTTAACAATTCAATTTTACTTAAAAAATATAATAAAATTCGTTGTTGGAATTAAATTATTTTTGTAAATAATAAAATTTTTTATACGATTTCAATTATTTTTAATACAATTTTAAATGAAATCCTCGAAAAATCTAATTATTTTTAAAAATTTTTTTCAAGAATTCAATTACGTTTCACAGATAAAAAAATTCTTTGTTGAAATTCAAATATTTTCAAAATCTACTATTTTAATAAAATTTCTCAAAAGAATTCAATTATTTTAAAAAA